CCAATCTAGTGCCAAAGGACTGATGCCAGTCCCAAACCAGAGCCTAACTCCCAAGACCCCAAACCAGTCCTGAATAGCCAATGCCAGTCTCGAAGGGCAGAGCTGAACTCATACCCGAACAAGACATTAGGTTTTATTTCAGTGAGGTTTACCCTTTACAGGTAAAGTGTTAATGAGACGATAATTATGGGATGGTAGTGTGTGTGTGTGTTTTCCTCCCCTGCTGTGGACATTGTTGTGAGTAAATTTTCTCTTTACTTACAACAAAAATATCCTTATGGGAGAGGTATCAAAATGATTAATTAGGAGACCCCTGAAGAAGGGGTACCCCATCTTTTCAGGAACCAGAGGGTGAAAGAGGATAAAGGTGAGAGATGAGAGCTGTCCTGCTCTGTGTTTACTGAATGGAGAGGACTTTCCTGGGAATAACTGTGATGTTGTTGAATATTGAACTCGCTGAAATCTGAATCCCCTTGTTTTCCCAGTGGGTTTGGGTCAAGGTCCCTGTTCTGTTTCTTAAGTGGAAGCTTAATAATCCTGATATATCAACAAGGACCATAATTAACATTTATTGAGCGCCAAGCACTTTGCTAAACACTTGCTACATTCTCTCTTTTAACCCTTACAGCAATCCAATGAAATAGGCTGTGCTGTGATTACTGTCCCCACTTTACAGATGGGAACATGGAGGCTCAGAGAGGTGAGAAATATGCCCTACGTACCTGGCTAGTGCATGGTGGGGCTGGGGTTTGAGCGCAGGTCTCTCAGGCTCAGGGTGTCAAACCACTCTGCTATACCTCTACTTGATTCAAGAACTCTGTTCACCAAGCCGACTCCTGGCATCAAAACTGGCCCTGGCATCAATACATGGCTTCAGGATACACAGCTGCTCAGAGGAGGCAACAGCTGTTCATTCATTTACCACTTCACCAAGCCACATGAATTAAATCACCATAAGGTAAGGCTCACTCAATCTCAAACACTAGGACAGGTAATTATTGTTTTAATTAAAGAAAATAAATTCCGCCCTTCCCCCCCCCCCACCTCTATCCCCGCTTCCTGGTCAAAACACTTGAGTACTGATTTCTGTAGGAGGTAGGGGAATAAGTTGAGACATTTTTTAAAATATGTTTTATTGATTTTTTTTTTTTTTTTTTTTTTTTTTTTTTTTTTTTTTTTTTTTTTTTACAGAGAGGAAGGGAGAGGAATAGAGAGCTAGAAACATCGGTGAGAGAAAAACATTGACCAGCTGCTTCTTGCACAACCCCTACTGGGGATGTGCCTGCAACCAAGGTACATGATCTTGATAGGAATCGAACCTGGGACCCTTCAGTCCCAGTCCGCAGGTCGACGCTCTATTCACTGAGCCAAACCAGCTAAGGCTCTCCCTCTTCTTATAAGGACACTAGTCATATAGGATAGGGCCCCACTCTAATGACCTCATTTGACTTAATTAGCTCTTTAAAGACCTTGTCTCCATTCAGAGGTGCTGGGCTTAGGAATTCCACAGAGGAATGGGGGAGGGGGACACAGTTTAACCCATAACAGCCTCCCTCACTCCCTCTTCCCAAGTCCCCAATGGTGACATAATCCTAAAGAGCAATAGATTATGTAAATGCTCTGCCTCAGTTTACTCATCCATAATGTAGGACTAATAATAGTACCTGTCCTAGTACACAGACAGAGTTGTTACGAGGGTTAAGTGCGTTCATGTGTCTGAGGTGCTTAGAACAGTGCCTGGCACAGCGTAAGCTCTAGGTAAGTGTTTATTAAATGAAGCGTTGGAATATAAAACACATTTATTATTTTTTTTTTTATAAAACATTTTTTTTTCTAACGTCTTAGGAGAGCATTATGTTGTTATTTCCTTCCAACCCCTCCCCGCAAGAATTTGCTTTTTCTGGACAATACACAGCATCAGGGACAGGATCACTAATCACAATAGGGGAGCTGTATATATTTGAGGGTGCAGGGGCCCTCCAACATTCTTTGAAACACACTGTTTAGTGACTAGTGATCTACTTAATATTAACTGCAGCCAAAATTGGTTAAGTGCTTGTGAGGTGCTGGACACTGTGCTCAGGGCTTTACCAGTATGATCTTACCTCTGTGAAGTAGGTATATTATTATTTTTATTTTATTTTTTGAAGTAGGTATATTATCATTCCCATGCTACAACTGAGGAAATGGAGGCTCCAAAAGGCTTCATCTCATAGCCAAGGTGCCCAGGTACGTGAATGGTGAGATAGGCCGGAATGACTCCTCTGTGAGCCAATTAGGGACTGTCAGAAGCGGAGTGTGGCCCTAACCGGTTTGGCTCAGTGGATAGAGCATCGGCCTGCAGACTCAAGGATCCCAGGTTCGATTCCAGTCAAGGGCATGTACCTTGGTTGCGGGCACATCCCCAGTAGGGAGTGTGCAGGAGGCAGCTGATGAATGTTTCTCTCTCATCGATGTTTCTAGCTCCCTTCCTTTCTGTAAAAAAATCAATAAAATATATTAATAAAAAAAAGAAGAGCCGAAACCGATTTGGCTCAGTGGATAGAGCGTCAGTCTGTGGACTGAAAGGTCCCAGGCTCGATTCTGGTGAAGGGCATGTACCTTGGTTGCGGCCACATCCCCAGGAGGGAGTGTGCAGGGGGCAGCTGATAGATGTTTCTCTCTCATCGATATTTCTAACTCTATCTCTTTCCCTTCCTCTCTGTAAAAAAAATCAATAAAATATATTAATAAAAAAAAAAGAAGCAGCGTGTGTGTGTATGGTGGGGATCTCCTCTTCCCCTCCTTTTCCATCACCCTCCCCACCCCACTTCTCCCTCTGCTCAATACCCCATCCCCATGGCCAAGGCTACACTCTCTTTGCTACAGAAAACATCCAAGCGGCTGGGACCCGACCCAGCGCCACCTTGTGAGCCCAGCATTGCGAGGGGCAGGCTTCCAAACAGGGTAATAATCGTCCCATTAAAATTAATGTCCATGAAGTGAGCCGTTAAAAGCGTGCAGATTAAAAAGGGGGGGAGGAGGGAATTGTTCGGTTTAAATCCAGAGGGCTTTTTAAATAGACACTGTGTCTTCATTCTTGGAACGCGCTGCACCGGGCGATGGATCAGGTCCCTCTGCAAAGATGTGGGGGGATTAAGGAGGTGAGTCCCAGGAGAAGGGGGACGTGGTTCTGGCCAGAAGCAAAGGGAACTGAGGTTTATCCAGGGCCCGCTGCATGCCAGGTGCTTGGCACACATTTCTGTCTCTTTAAGCTCTGCCCCATCCTGGGACAGAGGTATTATTATTCCCAGATTGCAGGGGGCAGTATAAAACCGTGGTTACCAGCTTAGAGCCCCCAGCAGACTGCCCTAGTTCAGACCCAGATTCATTCCTCCCTAACTGTGAGCTGGGCAAGAGGCCTTACCTCCCCATGCCTCAGTTTCCCCATCTGTAAGATAGGATCTGAATAGCACCCCCTATTTGTTGGAGTTTTACTTGAGGCCGTGAGGCAGGGACCTTAGCCCAGTGACCTCCCTAGAAGGCACTCGGTAAGTGCTGACCATGATTAGGGGAAAGAATGGGGCTGGGGGACATAAGGGCCACCAAGAAGATCCCAGAGCAGAACTGGGACATGAGCTGCAGGCCGGAGGGAAATCTCTCCTCACAACAAATCCACACCAGACTAAGGTCACCGTCTTGAGGAATCTTTTCCCAGTGACCCCAGACACCTCAGGCCTGGGCAGCACTGCCCAAGGAAAGCAGAGAGAGCATCAAGCTCCCCGTGGGCTCCCAGGCAGACCCCACCGTGCTCCTCCAGTTTTCTGAATCCCAATGAGTTTAACATCAGAGAAGGTCTTCCCCTGTCCCCCCACAGCCCCCCCCCCCCAATAATCCTAGAGATCCCCACGTTCATCTCCCTAGCGGGACAATGCCACACTTTCTGGTCTGGAGGGACGTAGGGCCTTGGGTCCGGAGAGGGGCTGGAGTCCCTATGGACACCCTCGCCCTGGCCCCCGCCGACCCCTTAGGGTCTGCCCTGCCATGGATTGGGGTCGCCACTAGACCCTGTAGCCCAGCAGCAGAACAGTATCTACCAAGGATGCGGACAAAACAAGTAACTTCCAGAGGCTCCCGGTGAGGGCACTGGGGGCGTGAGCACGGGGCGCCCGGAACGCCCGTCTCCGCGCTACGCGGGGACCAAGGACCGGCCCGCGCACCCCCATCCCGCCGCCTCCTCGGGTTCCCAGCTGCACGGGGGGGGGGGGTGTAATAATCGGGGAAGGGGTGCGTTCAGCCCATTCGGCCGCAGAGTGCGGAGAGGGGTGGGGGCCGCATAGGTGTGCCAAACCCCGAGCCTACAGGTGCCGAGCCAGACCTGGATGTAGGCAAGTTGGGTTGCATCTGGCTCTCTCCTCAGCTTCCGAACCAACCTACCTCCCTCAGACACAACAATGGCCCCGGTATATGTTTTTTAATAATACAGCCGAAACCCATTCTGCTTCATCCTGCTTCCCCTGGCCACATCGGAACCGGAGCTGGATTTTAGGGGGGGGGGGGAATGAAGGACAAAACCTTTCCTGGAGCTCCACGCCTCCGCGGGGGTCCCCCCACAACCCCCCCTAAAACCTGGGACCCCCGCGGCGGGGCGCCCGGTGGCCTCCTAGCGCGCCCCGATCCGCCGCTCCAAACCGCACCCCCCCCCCCTCGGCGGGCGCCGGCGCCGCTAGGGTTAAAAGTTACCTCTCGGTTCCTTCTGCCGGCAGCCCCCCCCCCTCCCGGGGCCGGATGATGTAACCCCCCTCCCGGCCCTCCCCGCCCCCTCCACCATGTGACACTTTAATTAATAATAGCGCCGTCAGCACAACAAACGCGCACAACACACAGGGAGAAACTTGGTGTCCAGGGGAGGCCCCGGCGGCGGGAGCGCGGCGGCTGCAGCGCGGAGGAGGCCGGAGGGAGCGGAGGGAGAGGCGGCGAGGGCGGCCGGAGCCCGGAGGGAGCGCGCGCGGCGGGCGGCCATGTGCCCGTGCCCCCTGCACCGCGGCCGCGGGCCCCCGGCCGTGTGCGCCTGCCCCGCGGGCCGCCTGGCGCTGCGCTCGGCCGCCGCGCAGCTCACGGCCGCCCGGCTGCAGGCGCTGGGCGACGAGCTGCACCGGCGCACCATGTGGCGGCGCCGCGCGCGGAGCCGGGGGCCGCGGGCGCCCGGCGCGCCCCCCGCCTTCTGGCCCTGGCTGTGCGCGGCCGCGCAGGTGGCGGCGCTGGCGGCCTGGCTGCTCGGCAGGCGGAGCCTGTAGGAACGCGGGGCTTCTTGGTGGGGCCGGAGCCGAGACCCAGCCGGAGCGGAGCAACAGGTACGCGAGCCGCAGCCCGCCCGCCCGCGAGCGCCGGGGCGCGGCCGCCGGGGGGCTGGAGGCGCGGGGCTGGCCTGGGAGCGGGAGGACCAACCCCAAGTTGAGCTTTCTTCCCTTCCCCTCTCCTTCTCCCCCTGCTGCCTTCTCTGCTGGAGAACTCCAAGTTTAGCCTTCTTCCCTTCCCACCTCCTTCTCTCCCTGCTTCCTCCTCTCGCAGGGACCTACGGGTCCCTCCTATCCAGCCTCCATCTCTCCTCCCACGCGCCAGGCCCGCCGTTTCGGTCCCCTTCCTTCTCTCTCGGACTCCTTTTACGCACCTTGCCACTGACCACCTCCACTGGGAGGACTGGGGCCTCCGCACCCTCCGCCAGCCGCCCAAATACACACACCCTCCGCGTAAAAAAAAAAGTGTGCTTGCCGTGACAACGCCGTTCCCAGCTCCGCCAGATAATCACAATCCAGCGCTGTTTCAAGACAAGTTCCCCGTCCTCTCCCAGGCCGGTCCTGAGTCTCCGTCCACAGCCCCCCTCCCCTCCGCGCCAAACCCGGTCCTTCCCAGTGTCCCTTCTCCGGCCTCTGGGCCCCGTCCTCCATCCTCCCGCGCCCGGAGCGCGTCTGTCTCCATCCTCCCTCCCTCCCCGGCCTCTCTCTGCCGCTCTGTCCCCCCCGGGGCCCCCGAGCTCCGCCGTTTCCCTTCGCGCCCGAAACTTCTCCGCTCCTTCCCCAGCTGGGTGTCCCGTCTGAGGACCGTGGCCCACTCTCCTCCATCAGACGGCTGGAGCTGAGATGCCCCCCGAAGTTGGATCGGAGGCTCTTAGGGAAGCCCCCTGGGGGAAGGAACCTTAACGAAAGCGCATTGAGTGAGCGCCTCTGGGGGTGCCGTGCCCAGATCAGGAGGAGGATGTTGGAGACCTTGCCCAGTGCTCGGCTCTGCGCAGTGGTGGAGGGCGGGGAGTGAGTATTGAGCACCTAGTGTGCTTGGTGCTGTGCGCTAGGCCCGCGGGGTTGGGAAGTTACTGGGGACCAGCTGTGCGCCTGGCACTGACTTAGGCGCTTTGGGGGTGGGAGGGGAAACAAGCGTGTAAGGAACGTCTTCTTTTCAGATTCTGGAGTAGAGGGGGGAGCTGCAGAGAATGGGGCGGGGTAATCAGGCCGAGCCCACCAGAGGGGAGCCTAGAGCCAGAAGGTGAAGGTGGAAGGTGAGAAAGCCAGCGGCTCCGGGATGCCGCGCCCCGCGCCCCGCGCCCCGCCGCGCGCTGGCACTCCGGGAGCTGGCGCGGCGCCCGCAGGCGAGGCTGAGCGTCTGCGCCCTCGGGGGGCGGGGGGAGGCGGGGAGAGGCGGCAGCCGGAGCGTGGGGGGCGGCAGCGCCCCTGGAGCTGCGGGGGCGCGCGGGGTGTGAGCCGGGAGCGCGGGCGACAGATGCCCCGTGGGCCGCGCGGCCCGGGCGGGCGCTGGGGAAGAGGGGTGCGCACTTCGGGGCGCGCCCTGCCCGGCTCCCCGAGGTCCCGTCCGCTGTTTCTTCTCCGGGGCGAGGGGCTCCCTCAGCCCGCAGCAGCCAGGCCGGGGCTTCCCACTCCCCGGGGGCGGAAACAACGTTTTGGGACTGGGCGCAGGGAGCAAGTAATGGAGTGGAGAGAGGAGAGAGAGAGACCCGGAGCTGTGAAGCCCAGAGCGTGGAGTTTGGGAAAAGGTGGGGAGGAGGGTGGAGAAGGGAAGAAAACTGGCGGCGAGACGGGGAGGGAAAGGCAGGTTGGGGAGCTGGGGAGCTGGGGAGCTGGTGGGAAAGTGGGTTAGTGGAAAGATGGGAGGGACCGCTGTCCAGGAGAGAGGGGAGGAGGGCTAGGACAAGGCTTCCCCTTGGGGTCCGGGTGAGGTTCTGGAAGGCGCTTCCTTCCCAGGACTAGGCGATGCGGGACGCTGGGGGCCACCCAAGGGGCGGTGAACCCCGGAGCTGGGCCTCTGGCTGTGAGCCTGGGGCCGGGGTGCCCCCAGGACTCCAAAGAGGAGGCTGCAGGCGAGGGACGGAGAGGGGTTTCGCTGGTGCAGCGGGCTAGAGTTTATTTCCCCTCCTCGCCCCGCTTCTGCCCCAGAGTGCCCTGCTGCACCCTGACTCCAGGCCACCCTCTGCTTGTCCCCCAGCTTCCGCAGCCTCCAGGGATCTCACGCCTGGGGTGCCCTGGCCCCAAGACGCCCCTTTCCCCCAGCTCCATCCCGGCCTTGGTTCCTGACCAAGCTCTCTGCAGCGCAGACTTTTTTTGTGTGCTTTTGGCTGGGAGAACCCATCCTTCCCCAGCCTCAGGTCAGTTAGGAGAAGAGGAAGGGAATCCATAGGAGAAAGACAGTTGGCTGAGTTCTGGTTGTGGTCCTCTCCACTTTTCCTACCCTCTGGAGAAGTGAGGGCCCTCCTAGGATAGTGTCGGGAGTTCAGGGCGCCTGAACCAACCATATGAGGCAGACACGCCTTCTCTCAGGCATTAAGGGTGGGCTTAGCTGTGTTTAGGACAACGTTTCAACAGTCTTGTTTTGGGTCTGTACTGTGACCTGGCAATACTTACCTCAGAAGTCATTATAAAAATGAATCTTGGGGGGGGGGTGGGAAACAACAACCCTGAGACTCAGTTTTCCCATGTGTAAGATGGGGACAATTATAGTACTTAATGCATAGATGTTGTCAAGAGGGTAAAATGAATTCAGACATAGAAAGGTCTAGAACAGTGCCTGGGGCAGAGGAAGGGGATATAAATGTGAGCTAGCATGATTATGATTGTGTATTCAATATTTTTCCCCCCAAACTACACAACATTTTGCTGTAGTCATTGCTGCCAATTCCACCCCATTCCTGCTTGCCCCTTTGAAGAATTAGGGCCGGGTGGGCCAGAGAATTAAGAGCATGGACTTAGGGATCAGAAGGAATGGGATGTAAGGCCCAGCCCAGGAACTTGCTGGCAGTGTGCCCTTGGGTAAGAATCCTAACCTCTCTGAGCCTTTTAAATGGCAGTTGTTCTCTGGGGTTGTTGGGGGGATGGTAGGAGAGCACCTGCTTCTAGAGCCCAATGCAGTGCCTGGAACTTCCATCACTGGACAGAGGACGCTCTGAAATGGTTCATGCCATCCTGATTGTTTCAAAGGGGAAACCGAGGCAGACAGAGTCCACCTGAGTCATTCCAAAGGATCAGAGGCAAAGCCAGAAGTTGGAACTGGAGTTTCTATCTTTGAGGGCTCCCCTTCTACCTCCCCTACCTCCAAGATGACGTGTGGGTTGCAGGGATGAGGAGACACTGGGGAGCAAGCGGAGGGAGTAGTGAGCCTTGAACTCCTGCAGTAGAGAGAGACCCCTTTCAGAGGGAGCCTGGGGGGGTGGGGGGCTCCTGGGAGGCATGGGAGGCCAGGAGGAGGGAGGGTGTGATTTAACCAGTACAGGAAGGGGAACAAAAGGTGCTTTATGGTGAGTGCCTGTGGGAGGGTGGGAGGGGAAGAAGTGTGCCCTGGGATGGGGCAGGGCCGGAGAGAGTGAAGCCCAGCACTCTGCCTAGTAGAGGGGCCAGTGGAATCTTGCCTTGGGACTGAGGAGAAGGGGAGAAAGGTGGATTTTGCAGGCCCAGGAGACAACAGGTCAGGGGCAAGGATGATAAGGGGCCAGCAGGAGCCTGCTTTTATGAACCAATGAGGGCCTCGCCACCAGCCAGATTTGCTAACTGATTCTTGGCAGGTGCTTTGGTCATTAAGTGGTTAACCCCGCAGGCACACCCCTCAGGCCTCCTCCTAGTGGGCTGCACCTCTGCCAGCATTACTTTGAGAGCTTGAGAGCTTAGGAGTGGAGGGAGAGGGCAGAGCAGGAGGAGACAGCTGTTGGGGAGGAACCCCTGGACGGGGCCAGATGTACAGCTTTCCGGCCCACGCCCACATGCTCTCTTGTCTGGAGTCGCCCGCTTGCCTGGTGAGAGGCCGGGGTGCAAGCGACTGAGCTGTGCGTGTGAGAACAGCCAGGTCCTGGATAATTAATACGCACTCCCACTCCCATGTGGGCTGGGGGGACCTGGTGACCACACCTCTGATTTTTGAAAAGTCCATCTACATTGGGGGTAAGGAGGAGTGAGTAGAGGCTTCTATTTCCCCTCTGGTCATCACCTTACGTGATGACAGGATTGCCCCACAGTGTCCCCTAGCCCCCAACGACTTGCTTGTCACATAGTAGGTACGCAATATGTAATGAATCCAGGAGTCCATGAGAAACTATGCGAGACAGGTATCATTGTTTCCCAAATTCAGCTCCTCTCACTTATTCACCTCGGGGTTATTGAGCGCCTACTGTGTGCAGGGCACTGTGGACACAGGAAGGGCCAGGACACAGAAGCCCCTGCTCTCCGGAAGCCTACATTTTAGTGGGAATAAACAAGTGAGTCAATAAAGATTTCTTTGGTTACTATTGCTGTGCAACCCATTGCTCCAAAACTGAATGGCCTACAACTACTGCTTGATTATGTTTATAACATATGATTATGCCCATATATTCTTTGGGGTAGGAAATGATAAAGGCATAGCTGGGTGACTTCTCTCTGCTCCAGGCTGGCTGGGGGCTGGATCCCTGGGCTGGGGAGGGATCGTCATTTACAGATATGGCTGTTGATGCTGGCTGCTAGCTGGGACTGCCAGTCACAGCACCTGCACGCAGCCTCCTCTTGTGGCCTGGGCTTCCTCACAGTATGGCAGCCTCGTAGTTAGTTGTTGGATTCGACATGGTGATTCTGAGCTCCAGCAGCAAATGTCTTGGGGGAGCAAATGGAAGCTGCGTGGCCCTTTCAGACCCAGCTTCAGAGGTCACAAGACTGCCCATCTAGAAGTGTGTGAGCAGGAGATGCTGCTGAGGCCATCTTTGGATCATGCACAGAGATCTAACACAGAGATCATTTCAGGAAGTGCCGAAGGCTCTGAAGGGAATGGC